AGCTTACCTACTAGCTTCCGCCGCTCATCTACCTTCACAAATAAAACAATAATTTGTTCCCCAAAAAGGAGAAGAATTGATATAAAATTGCGGGCTCAACCATACTTTTGTTGGCCTTCATCGACTCTGCTCATTTTTAAACACACTCCCGGAGGAGCCTTTATTAGTTAAATTCGTATCGTACCTCTTTGTCAACGTCGTCAGTTATCTCTAATGGAGCTATTTAGTTGATCGACTCGTTGTCCGGTTGTTAATGAAACCAATGTTAATGAAACCGATCATATTTTGCCATCGGAATTTCGGATCAATTCGGTAATTCTTCCTAGCCTCCATTAAGCTCTGGGCATAGCGTCGATTAAGATGACAACTTCCCCCTCTTTAGGTTGACGAAATATCATCATTAGGTTGACGAAGTATTATGGATATTCTCAGCTTGAAGTGTCCAAGATGGTCGTTGTAGTAACAATAAGTCTCTCGGGGTAAATACTCGAGACTATTTCTCGTACAGTAGCACAGTGGTCGTCGTTCACAATCGCTCGCATATCATATATTTTAGTTCAAAAATTCTCATCGTCCATTTTTTATTCTCCAATCACTCTCAGCGTTGTTTTCATTATACCAATCAATCATTCATATACAACCTCCCATGGGGCATATTTCGGAATGAAGTTCCCCTCGATTTCTTCTTCGACAATATCCGTTTGAATTTTCTTGATTGCTTCTTGCGACAGACTAAAATTCTTCGCATTGTCGGGCAACATCGTTCTTGTTTTACTTAGTATAGCCATTAACTTTCGTAACGCCAGTAAGAAATTTTCTGCAGATAAACTGTTTACTGTCTCCAAATGGATCGCTCTTATCGCCATGCATATGAATAGCGCTATCCATCGTTTTACCTTTTTGTCTTCATGTTTAACCCACACATTTTTGGGTATTTGGATATTTGGGTATTTCACACCTTTGCTGCAGCTATATTTATTGTTTTCTACTTTCCTTATAAATCGAAAAGGTAAATGGTAGAATTTATTACCACTTTGGTGATATCATTTAGTCTTGCAGAACATGAGATTTAACTGGTATCATGTCAGAAAGAATCATTTTTGAAACATACAGCCTGGTGACGATTTTTTATTTAATCTGGCACCCAGTTATACAGGTATAAAGGTTTGAGAAATTCTCTTCAAGTTTGCTACTATTTTTCAAGCAACCATTTTCTCAGTCTATATTTGTTGTATTGAGGTCACCAACAATTACATAATCGGCACCCAATCGACATAATTTTAATCTGAATGACAGGTTGTAAAGATCCCTAGTGAATTTGTTTCCATAGCGAGTATAGATTTAAAAGGGAAATATTTCCGTCGTTAGCATAAATTTTAGTAAACAGGGATTCAAGAGGAAGAAACATAATCAACAAAAGTTGCAAATTTATAATAATCAGAGACAAGCGTGATAAGCCCACATCCATTTAAACTATTTAAACTATTTATTGTCCTTACGTGATAAAGCCGTCAAAGTATAGTTTGCGATTATCAGTAGAGTCATCCAACCACATTTCATTGATACAGATAATACTATTTGAGTTATCGATTGTTAAGAGCTTTAAATCATAAAGCTTATATTTTAAACTTCTTGCATTAAATATATACAAAATTTTTTCCTGATTTATTTGACCTTATTTGACAAGTTGTCCCAGATTGTTGCAGACTAATTAGAAAAAATTGGAATCGATAAATTTTGGAAACCATTGGCGAGGTTGCCTGAGTTCCACTATTTGAAGATTTCTGACGACATATTTTTTACTGTAATCTAGTAATAATCCTCTTTTTGTTAAATCTTTCGGCAAAAAGCTTCCATGGGAGACAAACGAGCGCACATTCTTATTACGCAAAATAGACATGGCCATATACTTATCTTCGAGTCTAATCATAAGTACTCATGGCCTGTCTAATAATAATAATAAATGAGTGGTTAACATTCACCATTTCTTGCGAGACTATGAGGTTTGAAAGCAAAATCAAGTAGGTTTATCAATGCATTTATTGGCAAATGTCTGCCAAAACCAAAACTCTTGCAGCTTTTACGATAAGACGTTTTAATGAATCAATTTTTTCCTATCTTATCCTCATTGCAATCATATTTTTGTAAGACATCATTTTGCCATAATTTAGCGTAATATGTTGAAATATGAAAAGCAAACTGCGAGCAAATTATTGTGATTGCGATGAGAATATCAATGAATACAAATATAAAAGTTTGCAGAAATTCGAAAAAATCCCCAAGATCTTTTTACCATATGACCGAAATATTCATGAGGTACCTTGAGGCCAAGCCACATGGATTCGACCCCTCTAGCTAAAAGTGCTCTTAAAATTAAATCCATGTGACTTTCCTGCGGGATTTTTTTCTTTTCGATGATGAGGGAGATGAAATACTTGTGCTTATAAAAAGAGTGAAAAGTAAAGGCAAAAGTTGAAGCAAATTTCTATTAAACGAATTTCTTTCTGTATTACGAAGGCAATTGAATTAATTTTATTTTTACCACATTAAGCGAATGAAAATGAACATCGAGAACAAAGAATTATTGAAAGAACTATTGCCTTTCACGATTATTATTCAGAACCATTCTTCACTGTCTTCAGGTCCTTCTTCTGGCTTCTTTCCCTCCTTTTGATTCCTTTTCTAATTCTGCACTGCATTCAGGTTCTTCTTCAAGCTCTTCTTGCTCCGTGCATCCATCCAGTTCTTCTTCTAATTCTTCAATGAATTCAGATTCTTCTTCAAGCCCTTCTTGCTCTGTGCATCCATCCAGTTCTTCTTCTAATTCTTCACTGTCTTCAGGTTTTTCTTCTTGCCCCTCTTCTTCCTTAGATTCTTCAGATGTTTCTTCTAATTCTTCAATGTTTTCTGGTTCTTCCGTTTCTTTCGATTCTCGGGTACATAGGCCCTCCGATGACAGGCATTTTGATGAAGCATACGTCGTACATTCCGCATCGCTATTACATTTTTCACCACTCTCATACAACGTGGTGTGCCATTTTTGCCCACCAAAATATATTCCAATTAAATTACATGGAAAAATCTTTCTTTTTCGATTCCAGCGATTATAAGCGTTGAAAATAAAAGGTTATGACCAACAGAAGCACAAGAAGGAAATTCCTATGTATTAAATTTTTACCTTGGATAATAATTGCAAATAATAAATTGTAAGTAGTATGGATGTTGGGGATATTCACAAGATGATACTCCACAGCCAATTTCTGTCGTGCGCGCCGTTATTAACTGAAATGAAATGTGTGGGTCAACTTAAAAATTACAGATGAATGTTATTTTGCTTAAAAATTGTTTCTTATATCTTTTGTTCATGTTATTGGTTTTAAAAATGCATTTTTGCAGAAATGAAATTATTTTGCATGTAACGCTAATCTAATGCTAGCCTCGCGTGATTGAATGCAGATTAGTGGTAACGTCGTCGCAACAATGCAAGCTCTGGTATGCCTCATTCCTTGAAGGATTTGGTAGATATTTTTACATTTATAGATACTTATGATAAGTGGTAAAATGAGACTCAATGGAGAGATGGATTGATAAGACCGGGAAAGAATTTGAATGCAAATATATTTTAGCTTTATATGGGATACGATGATGGGAAACGGAAAGTTGTTGTTTTGCTTGCAGGCATTAGTGGGACTGAATCATGGAAACGACTAGC